GCCTGTGTTTTTTATTATTATTGTGAGCCGCCCAGAGTCACCCATTGGGGGAGACAGGCGGCATACAAAATAAATAAATAAATAAAAAAATAAAAAAAAAAATTCAACCATTCTGGAAGATGGTTTATTATAGAATGAAACAAAAGTTAAATGTTGAATTTCCTGCCAACTATTTTTCTGTTGAACATTACCAAACCTTAGACCCCTAAATCTATACTAAGGTAACTCTTATATGATAACAGCTGTCAGGACTCTTTGTGCCTTTTATTGGAAATCGCACAATTCCATCAAAAGAAATGGCAAACTAAGTTGTGGGGGTAGGTATCTAAGTCAAACATAATTTCATATTTGAAAAACAAGTTTGGCACAGAATTTTAATTCAACTTGGAAACCATTTATGGATTATAATTCTACATAAGGACATGTATTGCATCCAAAGTTTGTGTTGCTCTTAACATAAGGATTTAATATAATGGCTTCTGTTTGAATTGTTAAATAAGAATATAATTCTTATATTTGACAGATACTTTTGTTAATAGGTCATTCTGACTTATGACTAATTATACTGGACTTCATTTTAATAATGGTTCTGAAATCTTAAGTTAATACAAGAAACTTTTATATGCAGTACTTATCGAATGATACCTCAACATTTTAATTTTCACAATCTGTAAAACGCTTTTCTATTTTCTTTTTCTTTTTCTAATTTTTTATACTATATTTCCTCTTGGTAGCATTTTTCAATATATACTGAAATAAATATTTGTGCACACAACACACACAGCCATCCAAACTTTAATGAAAAGCTCAAAAGCAGGGCACTAAGTGAACAGCATCCTTCTGTTCACACACTGGACAGTTCTGAACAATATTCACTGACTAGTTGCTATTATGATAACTCAATGAATAGGAAATCTAATTTACAGATTAAATAATAAATTTAATAAATTTAATTTATTATTCTGCATTCACAAAGATGGCTCTTGCTATTTGGGGTGGGGGAGAGGCAGTCCAACCTAACAAGCAGAGATGAGACCATGCAAAAATGTACTTTTATGTATGTGCTAAAGCTCATCCACTCTTTTATGCATACATAAAATATACAAAAAACACTTCAAAAATTATCCTCCAAACAAAACTATGTGCCAAAAATGTGGATATGCAAAATTACACATAATGAAGTTGCAGATAAAGAGGGTGATCTCTAATACTTTGCAAAAGGTTTCTCTAGTTATGCAGTCTAGATAAAGGGAATATTCTTTCAGCTCTTTCTCCACAACACTGAAATAATACTGAGGTCCAACATTTGAGTCCCCAAAGTATTCCTCCATCCCAAGTATAATGCTACTACTTTTTTAACAGAAACTTTAACCTTTGAATAAACATCAACCATTATATCTTGCTTTTAAAACCAGCTGAAGTAGTTCAGTTTTCTTTTTTAAAAAATAAAGCATTATTTACTACTGATGCAATTGCCTGAGAAAAGCATAAAATGCCAGTTTATTCAATGAAAAACTGTGATTAATTTGTTTTTGGCATAGCATGATACATGAATACAGATCACTAATAAACCATAATTTGAAACCCTAATTGTTTTGCTAACTAATTGCAGCTGTGGTGTAAAGCGGTAGCTTTAAAAATGGAGTTTCAAGGTTTGCATATGTTTTTTAACTTACTGCTAGTTTGTGCTTATACCAAAACTTCAACCAATCCAGAGATACAACAGAAAAACAGAAAGGAAAGTAGAAATCAGGAATAGGCTAAACAAGCCATCATTACTTTGATCAACTGACTGGATTTTTGCTTGTATGACAAACCATGGTTAATAACTTAACACTAATTTTTCTCCATAATCACCTACTACTAAATGAGCATTGTTTCTAATTTGTTTTACTCTCTTAAAAAAAAAAGTAATTTTTAAAGCAGAACTACAAAAATGCAGAAAAACAGGTGACCTAAGCTGGTAGATGCATTTCACCCTTTCACAACCACTTGCAAATGGCCTCTGGTTATACCTATGCTTGGAGTGTGGTTCTCAATAGGCCACATAAAGCCTGTTGCAGCTCTTGAGCTGAAGGAAATTGTATAACTATGCTTTAAAATTTCACACACACCCATGTAATTCTACTTACATGTAATCTGCCTCGAAGTTCTCGGTCATTCCTCATTTTCACATAAATCCGTTCATCAAGACTAAGCCTGATGAGATCCAAAGGTTCTTCTACAGTGTTGGTGGTTTGTTGCTATAAAATATATATATATATATATAAACATTTATAGTGATAGACATATTTTTAGCAAAGAAACCTGAGTTATAAATAGTAAATGTTGGCTACTAGCAATTATTCCCCCCAAAGTAATCTGATAATTACTAATGCCTACTGAAATCAAATGAGAGGCAATTCAGTTATAGTTTCTAACATTATCTAAGATTCTGTGATTTTTCATCAGCTTTCAGAGAGGTAAAGGCTCACTTGTGATGATTGGACCAACAGGAAAATTTAAGTAAAATCAGAGAAAATTTACACTGCTTCTCCTCTCAACCTAGCAGGTGAGTCTTTGAAGCCTACATTGATTTTACTTGTTTTATTCATATTTGCTTTTTCTTTAAGCTCTTAAAAAAGACCATCCCTCCTTTTTTTAAACAGAAGACTGGATGTGCATTTCACTAGAAAAACCCAGTCAATCTTATCGAGTGCTATAATAATGTTTGCATTTTGCTGACACAGTTTGAGCCAAGGTGCTTCAAATAAAGCCATTACACAAGTTTAAATTTTACTTTAACTATTACACCAGCCAATCCCAAACAGAAAGACTATACAGTCATATGTTATTTTTCTGTTTTATAGTCCTAGTTTATAACAACTACTTTTCCAATATTGAAAAAAGGTTGCTAACTGCAATATCTAAAAGTAATAACATCATTAAAAAGTTATGTATAAAGGATGTGCCCACACAATTGAGACTTTATAAAATATAGCCTAAGCTTTCTTATACACATCATTTCTACATCTATAGCAACTTGTCAGTCTCAACAAATACAGATTAATTAGAACATATTCTTTAACAAACATATTCTAGAACAAAAGGGATACAGCAGCCAGAGCTCACACAAATATGTGCACTCAGATCACAGCATCGCACTAGTGGTGCCCACTATGGAAAAGGTGTCAGTGTGGTTTAATCCAGGCACAGCCCAAGTTTTAAAGGACTGATAAAGTAATGGAAAATGTATTGGTTTAAGACAGTGTTTCTCAATTTTTTTTCCTTCAGGACCTCTTCCCAAATTTATGGAGGACCCCAAAATAGCTTTTGCTTGTATAGGTTATATTTATTGATATTTAGCATATTAAAAAACTAAAACTGATGCATTCACTGCCACTTCTCACAATTGTTCGATGGGATTTTAATATTGTGTTATTTTTCAACATAGGCTGGCAAATAATTTTGATTTTGTAGACCCCTGACAGGGTCTTGGTGATCCCCACACTTTAACACTGGTTTAAGGCATTTGATCAGAAACCATGAAATAGCATTTCATCCACTGCAAAACTGTAGTATTATTATTGTATTGTGTCTGTGTCTGTTGAGGAAGGGACAAGGCTTGGAAAACGAAGCCAAAAAAAGCAGCTTAAAGCAAGAGTCACGTATCTGAAATGGGCGGTCATATAAATCGATTGAATAAATAAACCCCGAGAGGCAGGTTGCCGAATAAAACATCAACGCCCACGCAGAAGTCGTTGCCGGGACTTTGCGAAACTCAAAGGAGATGCCAGAGGTAGAGACTGAAGCTCCAGCTAGCCATCACCCAGGCTTGCCACACTTTCCACCGCAAAGGATCAAATCCCTGGAAGATTCAGCAGCCGACAGCCACCCGACCCGGCGCTTCACCCACCTGATCCACCTCGTCCGCCATTATTCAAAGGCAGCCCCCCCTCCTTCTCGCGAGATTTTATAGCAAGCGCGACACGGCTACAGCCCGCCTAGCCGAGTATATAGAGCTGCGACTTGAGATGCTCCTGTAGCGTCCAGCTTCCGGGTTAGTTTGCTAAACGCCGCTCTTCTGCCTTTACAGTACTGTAGTTTCTCGTTTCTCAACCTGGGCAACTTTAAGATGTGTGGATTTCAATTCCCAGAATTCCCCAGCCGGACTCTTAAAACTGCCCGGGTTGAGAAACCCTGCACTAGACTAATAGGCTGAGTTAACACATACAACGAAGCTAGAAATCAAGCCATCTCTACTGAGGCTTAGCCTATCTCGGGCTGTTCTTTGAGGCATCTCCCCTTTGAACCGATTCAAAACCGTCCGTGTGAATGAATATTCAAGGATCGGGCGTTAAGCGTTAGCGAACCGCTTTGCAGCGTGACGCTTCGTCTCGGAAGCTTCGAGGGAGCCGGGAAATAAGCTACGGGCGCTTCCTGCGGGGCAAGGGAGAGATGCGAGGCGCAGTCGCCTCGCTCCGGGGTACTCCAGCGATTCACAAGTACAGGCAGCCGCCGGCACGGAAGGGACGTCAGGGAGGCGGCGCCGGCAGAAAGCTCTGCCTCGCTTGTCTCCTGCGAGGAGCGGGGTAACGGAGGGGGCGGCACGGCCACCCCGCCGCCCTGCGCGGGGCCCGAGAGAGGCGCTTCACTCTTCCTTGGCGTCCTCGGGAGGCCGTCCGGCGCCGGCCTCCCGAGTGGCTGCTCTCCTTTGTGGCCTCGCCGCGCCTCGTGGTGGGTGATCGGGCTGCCTTCTTTCGCGGAAAGGCGGCCGGGATGGTCGGGAAGCGTAAAGGGG